TTGAACTTAGTTGGTTGTGGTTAAAATATTAGTACCTTATACCCTTGTCTATTAGGGGGTTGTGTATCATATAAATCCTTCTCATAGTTTTCACTTTAGTTTCAATTGAATACTAATTATATATAACTAGCCTCTTTGATTATGCTCAAAGGTATTAGCTATATGTGTTAGTGAGTTTATTGCGATTAAATTGAACTTAAGTAGTCATTTTATCCCTACTTGTTCAATGATATTTTCTATCATGCTTTAGAGTGTTACCTTTCTGTTTAACAAGTATATAACTTGATGACATAACTTTGATGTTTAGGTTTTATGAAGACAAGTTGAAAATTGATTATTGGTTTCTTTTTGACTAGTGATTACTTATAAACTTTGTTGAGGACTATTAACACTTGCTTCATTCAATGATGATTTTGTAGTGATGTGTTTACTTTACCAGATGCTGTTGTGAAGGATTGTATCTTTAAAATTGCATAGTTTTTTATATTAGCATGTTGATTCCACCTTTCTTGATATTATTTAGTTACATTTAGTCTATGGTGTTGGATTGATTTGAATATTGGATATGATGATTCACTCCTTGATGATATGGCAAGTTAAATTAATTATGTTATAAATGAGATAGTTTAGTAAAGGTTGAGCTTGGTTTTTCCTTGAAGATTGATTTAATTATGGAATATACTAGATTTACAAAATGAAGAGTTAATGATCAATTGATGTTATTTGATCCTTGTTGAATTCGAATTGAAGTTTTATCAATTATTGATAATTTTTCTTATGTTTGTTATAAAATGAGTTACGTTTATATAAAGAAGATGGATTTATACAAGATCATTTGGTGATTACTTATTGAGTATAACTTTATCATGCTTGGGTTTTAGATTGATGCAAACATGTTTTTCAATAGCTTTTATATTGATATGTTGAGAAGGATATTATAGATTATAACATGATTTTTATTTTGGCATTCATTGAAGTTGGTTTATATAAGACTTGTGATCCTAGTTATACAAGACTTTCTTATACACTTCTTTGAACTTTTAGTCCTTTAAGTTGAGAATTATATTTATTGTTCTATTTGTTTACAATTGTCAAGGAAGGCATTTTGGCTCATTAGTTTTAATATTCAAGTTAGTTCTCACATTTAACAATCATTGGTGTGATTGACTATCATCTAAAATAGTTGATTGTCCTTATTAGATGTCTTGCTTGATTATTATTGATGTTGAATGATTTGCCGTTCTTCAAGATGATGGATTGATATTTAATGATGACTATGGATCTTTATTGAAGGAATCATCAATAATATTTCATGATAGTTAGTTCTTATTTAAAGGATTTTGGCTTTTTGTATTATCATATATTCTTTATGGTTTTTTTTAAATTGTTAATGCTTACTTTAGCAACTTTTATTTCTTAGTATTATTGATTGAGATTTATTCAAATTAACTAGAGCGACAATTGACATGAACAAGTGTTTATTGGCCCTTGCAATATTCATTCTATTTTATGGATTATTGATAAGGTTGGTTCTGATAAATTGGGGTGTTATTTCTTTTAGATAATATATTTATGAGTATTCTTATTATTTAGTTGATAATACTTTGTGTTCTTTGAGCTATTTTTCATAAATTCTTTGGCATACTAAGTTTTATTTTCTTGATGATATATTTGTTATTGAATATTTTTAGATGATTAATCCTATGACTTTAAACTATAGTGATATTGATGGTTCCTATATTGTATTGATTTATTAGATGATGACTTAATTAGAATACTTTTGTGTTCTAATATAAACTAATAATTTGGTCTCTAAGATATCATTGTCGATAATTTTGATATTGTCCATCTATTGATCTTTAAGTTTAGACCAGTATACGCAGATTAGCTTTGGCATTTTATGTGCATAGTGAAATCTATATTTATGGGGTATTTACTATCAATTGGTAATGTGACCTGTCTCTTTCTCAAAATTCCTCATTTTGTTAAAAAGATATGATTTTATAAACAACTTTAACTATTTGTTTATAGTAGTCCCAATGAGTTTAGTTTATTTACTCAGGATAATTAAGGCTTTTAGCTTCTCTTTTTATATTACCTATAGGTAAAGGAATATTGTCTTTTGTAAGTTGTGTGATAGGGTGGTTAAATCCATTAATCATTTCCTTATCAGTGATGGCCGAAAAATGTTGAGTTGTAGAGTATTTATATTAGACAGAAAGGTTGCCTATAATTCATTCATTTCTCACAAAGTTTAAACACCATAATTTTTTTTTAGAATTATTTCCTTAGCAGTGGTCTAAATTAGAGTATGAATCAACAAGGATGTTAATCTTTCCTAAGGAGGGGAGAGTGTTGTAAATGTGATTGCAAGTATTAAAAGTTACATGTGAGTGAGTCTTTTCAAATATTTTTTCCTTACTACAATAATGGCAAGAGATTAGTATTGTTAATTCCCTTTTCAGTCTTTCTTATTCAAGTGTTAATAAGCATTTATACTTGGCTAGGCAAATATAAGGAATTCCTAAGTGTTTATTTAGCTAAGTATATTTGGCTTGGTTTATTAGTACTCTTTTATTCTATCTTGCACTACCTTGACAAGAACCCTCATAATATTAATTTTAGTCCCTCAATACTCATTAAGTGATAGCTTACTATGTTAACCAAGACACACTTGCTATCATGCCCAATGTGTTAGTTCTATTTGGTCCTATTAGCTATTTATAAAAAGTGTCTATATCTATTAGTAAGGCATATATATGGAATGTAAAAATTGTTCTAAACACGATGGTGTTGCTCTCATGTTTAAATTCATAATATAACACCATTTTATATTTAATAAGTTTTCATAATTGTCTCAAAGACTAACTCCTATATCTAGGGTGAAAGCCCAAAGTATGTATTTTTGGTGTGTGTGTGTGGGGGAGGGGGAGTATGTGCGGCTATAGAGGGTTCTAAATATATAGTAGAGATAATGGGTAGATCAAGTAAAACCAATCAATTTGAGGCATAATTTATATTTTTACTTGTATACCTGTTCTTGTTCTATATCTAGCTTGGGTCTAAGCCTAAGTTCCATACTATACTAACTAGTGGAATATTCATATCCTTAAATTAGTTCACTAGTATGCTAAGATTGCCTTAAACTCCATTGGGCTTCATTTTATGTGTTGGTTTTGGCATTGGGATGCTAATTACTTTAGAACTATTTTCATGTCATTCCATGTTTTAGTTCTTTCATTCCTTCACAAAGAGATAGATGGAGGTTTTGTAAAACTAGTGGCACTAGAGCAAGTGATGGCTTTGCATTGCTAGGCAGCTCAAAGCAACGAAAGCAACAATGGACTCAAAGCTTGTAGCAATGTTAGGGCAAAGTAATTGGGACAAAGAGCTTACACAAAGATTTGCCATTCTTAAAGAGCAATTAAAGAGCAACTAAGTCATAGCGACGTGCTTGGTTGACTTCTACTGCAAAGTTGGAAGTATGGTCTCGGCTTAACAAGTTTTCAACTTGATTTTGTCGAAAGATCTTGTGGTTTGGACAGCATTTATAGCTGGATACAATTGTCAAGGAGATACTACCCCCATGTTTAAAAGAGCTCACAGTATAGGAGATCTCAACCTTCATCTTGATAGGTTTACATTCCTCTCAATCATCAACACTTGCAACTATGCAAGGCTTATGAAACAAGGAAAGGAGTGCTTATATAATGGAGGATTTATCTTGGCAGTGAGCACTACTATAGAGTGGTTGATCTCTTAGGGTGAGTAATGAGACAATGATGGTGTTAGAATTCATGCCTCTAGAGTCGAGTTGTGTAACTTAGACTACCATTCTGAGTGTATGCAAGAAGTGGAAAAATGTGTAAGTTGGGAAGATTGCATATAACACTTTGGTGAAGATCGATAAGAGGAATAAAGTTGCATATATGCTTATAGCTAATCTATATGAAAATTAATATTTGCATATTTGCTGAAGGAACAAAAGTTGGCAGCTGTGATATAAAAAACACTAAAATAGTACTCCATTATAATGTGTGATGTTGTGATAAGATGAGAAGCTCCTATTCAATACCTCAATTTTGATGATGGTGCTTCTTGTCCCACTTCTCCATAGATCACTCATGAATCATAATATTATAAAAGGAAAAGATTTATCTCATATAATATAAATATTTACATAAAACCATTGCTAGATTTGTGGTGATGGGCATCAGTCTTACATAGAAGCTTGAGGTGTCATGCCCTATGTATACATGGCATATCCTATGACAAAAATATAATACACACAATCATATTTCAATTATTTATATAAAAATTTTAAAGTAATTATGTGCATAATTTAAATGCATCCAACTCAAAAAAATATATCCTTAAATGTGTAAATATATAATACTCCCATGTGCAAATGTGACATGAATAGTTCAAATTTTAATTCAAATTTGTACTAAAATGATTATTTTTAATTCAGAATAATTTTTTTAATTTGAATGTCAAAAACCCTGATCTGGGGCTGGATATAATATATTTTTGAATTAATGTTCTAGATCTTTCAATGCTACTCATGAAAGGAGTACTTTCAATACCATAAATATTTGTATTGCAAAATTTTCATTTTTCTAAAATTCAATCAATGGCTAATAGAAGGAATTGGTACATAAAACAATTGAATATCCTAGATTTATATATGTTATGTCTCTTGGTTAGTAGTGTACTATTTTGTATGGCTTGACTCATATCCTTTCTTTGATTTGAATCATTCAAATAAAATATTTTAGGAAGGCTAATTCCACTTAAACTAAGTGTTGATTAAAGAATATAAATATCTTCAGCAGAACTGGATTCCTTGCTAATATACTTCCCCAGCATATACCATTATCACATCATTTTCGCAATTCCTACTAGGCTGAGCAAAAGTGGAAACCTGGATTTTCATCTTTATGTGGCTGGTTAGATTAAGAGGAAGTTTGTTGAAATTCAGAGCTTTTAAAAGTTATCACTTAACCTTGGAAGAATCACCAATTCAAGCATTAGTTCAAGAACTTGCTGGGCTTCCACCAGCAGCCAACATTGCATTTATTAACAATGCCTTGTTCTTGTAATCCTTGGGGTTGAGCCCGTAGTCCTGCTTCGCCATCTTGTCCAATTCCTTTCGTGTCAGAGCTAGAAGTCCAACACCATCACCCTGCACTTCCGAGTAGCTGGTGTTCCATGTCCGGCTGCTTGTGATCTCAACTAGTACGCCGTAGTCCTCTGCAGCCAAGCCTGGAATTGCTTTGTCATCAAAGGGTTGCACATGTAACACGTACTCTGGAGTCCCCCAAACAGTGCCATTTTTGAGCTGCTTAATACTGGCGAGCTGGACACTGCGGCTATATCCAGGCTGGGAGCTACACCCCACAAATGCGAAGTGAAGATTGATGTTCCCCAGATGCTTCTCTATGTCAGGAAACCAGAGCCGCAGAGAGGACAAGCTCATGAACTGGTTGGCAGACTTCCGATGCTCATCTACGTTGACAGTGTACTGCAGCGCAATGATATTCACTGCTCCCGTTTCATCCACCCAGACGATCACAGCATCTACGTCTGGAAAGCTTAAATCTCTGGGTTTGAAGTAGTAGCCTGTGTTGACGGCCATCTTCTTGATGCTTTCGATGCTCCTCGATGGAATTTTGTCAAACTCTTGCACCGTGATGGTTCCGCAAGCAGCATGTATATCACTGCCGAGACGCAATCCCTTCCTCGCAACTACTGCAGCCAGAACATCTTCACAGAGCTGGCCAACAGTCGACCAGTTGATGCGGCCCTTATCTTGCAAAAGCCTGCTAGCATAAGCCATCCACGCCCCATCAGCGTAAGGTTTCACTGCTTCTTCCTTCTCACGTACCGCATTCAAGTAGATCCTCTTGATAAAGCTGGAGCAGTACTCCCCCGTGCTGGCGTCGAGAACGTAAGTCGGATCCAGACGTGCCATATTTGCATCTGTTCTGCACGCACCTTGTACTTGTATCTTACTGGCCTTTTTCCGCACTTCATCAATCTCACTGTGTTGAGTAAAGGCCCGCAGAACGCAATCCCAATACTCGTCCTCGTCGTTCAACATAGCTATCACTTCATCGGTTGCTTTCGAAGCCAGCGTTCGACCAAAGTACAACCACGCCGGCACGCCTGGAAATGTGTTTGTTTCAGGGACCACCAAGTCTCCAAGAACAGTCTCGCAGCAGGTGGCCATAACATCAAGGAAAAGCGGGACGAATCCAGTGTAAAGTTCGATGCTGGAGCGACGGGCTGGAAGTTTACCAAGCAAGCAATTCCCAGCGAAGGTTGAGTACTCTTGCTGAAAAAAACATTCCAAGCGTAAAAACCGGGCACAAAATATTGGCAGCTTCTTACCTCGTCAAAGACAGCTTTCTGGCGTTTATAAGTGAACGATGGCAATTGATTCTTCCTGCTTAAAATACCTGCTTTCGGACTAGTGCACCAACAAATTCTTGTACCCGCGCTCAAAAGGACGCGCAGATCCTTCTTCGCTGCCGACTTTGCATCGTGGTCATACACTGGCGTCCCAAGGAAATCACTTGGATCAAGTGCCTCGCCTCCATCTATAAAGAAGTAAAACACTTCTGCTTTGTTCTTCTTGCGCTCCTTGATAAACCCAAGCGCCTCCTCCATCGACACGATGCTCGCGATGGCAGCTTCAGTCTCTTGCCAGCCGTCGACTTGCCTGATCTCGTCCACAAGATATGAGAAGAGAAGCGCGTTCTTGGTTGCCTCTACATGATCGATCAGGAACGTCTCTGCCCACAGAAAAACTGGCCGGTACTTCACACCCTCACGCAACTGGAGATGCATGCGCTTCTCTCGATTCTCCTCGTCGTCGGGAGTGTTGAGCCACTTGTAGAGAACACACGCCATGGCTCGAAAGTCGGATGACTTCCCAATGCCTTTGGGACCGAGAATCAAAACCTCACGACCAGAAATCCAGACGCCCAGGAGCTCAAACAGCGTATTCCCTCGACCCACGTAGTTGAGCGCCACCGGAGGCCTGCTAACCGGGTCTCCTATGCCTGGATATGGCAGGAGAGTGGACTTGCCTTTGATGAAGATATCGTCTTCATTCATGTCGAGGATGGTCTTCACCGCCTCCCTTGCTTCCTCTACCGTAACATAATCGCGGCTACGCTTGGCACACATCTCAACCAAAAACCCTAAGAGACGCTTCACAAGTTCCAAGACACTCATTTTATGTGACACAAAATGTAACCCTCCATATTTTTAGGAATCGGAAATAGATTTATGACGTGATTGAAAGCAGAGAACGACTGAGAAGGTCAAGCTGGTCAAATCTTACCTTCAAAAAACTTACTAACTGAGATCCTGAGCCTTTCAACAAGCTTGCACAACCTGGAGCATTGCCAGACATCAACGACGACTACACAAAAAAAGCAAACCTGTACAGCATTGTTGAGGTACTGGGTCCGAATCGATTGCTTAAACACGGTCACCTGAATCCAATCTCTCGTAAGGCGAAAATATGTGACGTTGAATTCACCTTGGACAGGACGATGACTGCTCCTGGCACAATGTCCCTGCCGAACTCAGTCTCGGCAAGCACTCTCTTGTGGACGGTTCCACCAATCGTGCCTGTCGGATCCTACTCCAGGAACTTTGCTCAAATTATGTTTTCTTTCCATGACGACTGTACCTTGAGTGTCACAAAAGCGTCTCCGCATCCATTTGGAGTACACGATTGGATTATCGCAAGCAGCTGATCGAGAAAACCATGTAAACTACGGGGTAAAGAAGATGGTCGTCCAGATAATGGCAATATAGTTTACCTGGGGAATACGTTCGACACAAGAGGATGACTTGATATGGCTGATTGTGGAATCACGGCGTGAGTACTTCACTGTCGTGGAAATCAAGTCATGAAAGAGAGAGAAGAAAGAAACAAGATGAGCTTACCCGGATCAATCTCGCCGATCTGACAGTAGCGAAGGGCCGCCAGCCACGCAGAACTTCTAAAGTCCGAGTGATCAAAAGGATTTTCTTTGCGCGAAACTTCGCAAGGCTCTGATCGTTTTATGCCCAGCTGCATGGCCCCGGCTGGTCCTGGAATCGTGTAAGCAAGCTTTTGTGACTTTGCTCCAAAAATCTCTGGAGCACCAAAGTCGTTTTCTAAGCTCCGTTGTGGAGGTTCTTCGTCGGCTCTTGCAGGACTGCTGGCAACGTTGAGAGTCCTTGGCACAGTCCAGTCCCGACTATCCTCCATGTCCAGGAAATCCAAGAACATCGGCTCCTCTGATGCGGTCTTGGCTTTCTTCTGGACGTTACCTTGATCGTTTTCTCGCAAAGATCGCTTGGCACTCGTGCCTAAGATCCTTGCGCTCTCTCCAAGGCCGAAATCCCGGAAATCAGAGCGGCTCGAGCTTGGATTTTCTGGAGGAGGCGAGACTGCCCGATCGCTACCCGCAAAACCCTGACGGAAATCTGGAGTTGTTGTTGGCTCTGGCGTGCCAGCTGCTGCGATCGATTCACTGACCTCTTCTCGATCGCCATTCTTGAGGAACTCGCCAAGATCGAAGTCTACCTCAAAATCTTCGAGATCCATAAACCCTAACCCCCAAAAAAGATGCAAGAGAATATTCAGTTTTCAAAACGATTCCAGAGAATATCCACTTTATGATCCTGTCCATGTGTCATGCCACGTAGGCGAGGGCTAGAAAGGCGCTCTTTTTTCTCTTTTCTCGGGCGATAGTAGAATGCTGGCTTGATTGGCTATGGCGGCTTCCATTCGATGCCCTAGTTTCAATCCGTCCACAGCTCTTCGCCTGGAAGAATCGTCGGCATCGTCATCCGTGGTCGCGGCGCCATCGGCCACAGCAATCCAGGTGAGATTTCGCCGGATCCGTCCAGCAGCAGCGGCATTGAGCAGCATTTCTTGTTGCGATCCGGGGAGGTGTAGCTGTAGGGTTTATAGCGCTTTGCCAGGTTTTTCACATAGGGAATGGATCTCTAGAAAGGATTTCACGCATTGGAGCAGCAGACCGTCGAGAAGGAGAATGGCTTCCAGTGCTCTATCGCCGGGGGATGATTTGCCAGACGAGTATGAGAAGGATGATCCTTCAAAGAAGGCCATGCCCAGAAGAGCTGGGATTATTTTGCATCCTACTTCATTGCCTGGACCCCATGGGATTGGAGACCTTGGTCCAGACGCTTTTAGATTTCTCGATTGGCTCGAGTCTACTGGATGTCGCATTTGGCAGGTATTCTAGCTCTTTGTTTCGTTTGTCTTTGAATCATTCACTTATAGGAACTCAAGTTTGTGTTCTCGTAGGTTCTGCCATTGGTACCTCCTGGGAGAAAAGCCGGAGAGGATGGATCGCCTTACGCTGGACAAGTAAGCGGCGTTTTTCTTTCATCCGAGATCTTATGTTTTGCGATTGACAGGATGCTAACTGCGGGAATACTCTTCTGATCTCGCTGACTGAACTCGTCAAAGATGGTCTTCTGGAAGAAGAAGATATTCCTGAGGCTATGTAAGCTGGCTTCTTTTCTTCCTTCGGAAATGACTTGTTGCTTACAGACCTGTCGAGAAAATTAACTATGAAGCTGTAGCCGAGCTCAAGGATCCATTGATCCAAAAGGTCTGCCAGTTTCGTTTGCATCACCGCTTTATTCTTTCCCGTTGTTTCATAGGCTGCAAAGAATTTGGTGCAAAATGGAGGTTCTTTGAAGAAGGATCTCGAAACTTTTCGAAAGAGCCCCCAAATTGCATGTAAGTCCATGTTGTGCTTTTTAATGGATGCTCTAATCATGCACCAAATGTAGCCTGGCTGGAAGAAGCTGCTTTATTTGCAGCTATAGATTCACATCTCGATGACGGAGCCTGGTGGCTATGGCCAGAGCCTCTACGAGATAGAAACCCTTCGGCACTAGATAAAGCTCGGAAAGAGCATAAAGACTTTGTAAGAACAAAGTGCTAGTTGTTCTAGTTCTAACTCGTTCTATTACAGATTGACGTTTTTATTGCGCAACAATTTTTGTTTCAAAAGCAGTGGCAAGCTTTGCATACGTACGCAAATGAAAGAGGAATCAAGATTATTGGCGACATGCCGATTTACGTAGGAGGTCATAGTGCTGATGTTTGGGTCCATCGGACACAGTTTATGATGGTACGCTTCCATTTTCTTTTTCAAATACAAGGAAGAACTCAATATCTCGCAGGACGAAAAAACATGCGAACCCGTTCTAGTTAGCGGTGTTCCACCTGACTGTTTTAGTGAAACTGGCCAGCTATGGGGAAGGTGAGAGCTCCAAATATTTAAGTTGCACTTGCTTACCTTGTCTTTCAGTAATTTTCCAGCCCTTTATACAACTGGAAAGCGATGGCAAAAGATGGCTACAAGTGGTGGGCCTCAAGAATGAGGCGTGCTTTTGAGCTTTATGACGAGTTTCGAATCGATCACTTCCGTGGGCTTGCAGGATATTGGGCAGTTCCTGCTGGTATGTCCAAAACAACACTGCATATCAAGATATTTGCTGACATTCTTACGTTGCGTAACAGATGCTGAAACAGCAATTGATGGTCGCTGGAAAGTAAGCTTTATGAGTCTGCATGATGATAGTACCTAAAATCGAATTGCAGATGGGACCAAGAGTCGAGTTTTTCAACGCTATAAAGAAAGCCGTGGGGAAAAAGATTGACATCATTGCCGAAGACCTGGTAAGGACATCCTTTTGAAAGCAAACTAGCGCTCATGCTATGCGCAGGGGATCATAACCACGGACGTTGTGGAGCTTAGAAAGGCGATTGAAGCGCCGGGCATGGTTGTGCTACACTTCGGTATGGTTCCAGCGTTATACTTATTCTTTCACTCTAATGTATCCAATGCAGCCTTTGGGAACAACCCAACGAATCCTCACATATTGCACAACCACGAGGTAGACCAAGTTGTTTACCCGGGAACGCACGACAATGACACAGTAATTAACTCTTAACTCTGGATGCTTGTTTTGCCGACTAATCCATGTCTTTTAGAGTGTTGGATGGTGGTCTAAAGCGAGCGAAGAAGACAAGGAAAAGGTGTGCTTTTAATTTTCGTGAACGCAGTGGTTTTCTAACAAGTTTAACGTGCCTACAGGCAAGAAGTTACTTGCGCCTGGAAGACGAGGACGCCGTCTCCTGGGAGCTCATGAGGGCGGCATTCTCGTCCGTGGCACGCACGGCAATCATCCCAATGCAAGACGTCTTGAGCCTCGACAGCGATGCTCGGATGAACACACCGGCGGTGAAGGTAAGTACCAACACAGCGTGGTATCTTCGTTGCAAGCAGTACGCTGACGAGCTCTTCTACTTTGGCTAGTCTGGGAACTGGGCATGGAGGATCGGCGAGAGCTCCATCTTTGACGAGCTCACAGAAGAAGGCGAGAGAATCAGAGGACTTCTTCACGAGTACAACCGGTTGCCGCGCTCGGAAGAAGAGCATCGTTTGATTGAAAAATAAGTTTTTGGTCGTTGGGCCGTTGACCGTTGAACAGGCATTGACCGGTCATAGTTTTTGACCATTTAATGATTCAGAGAATTGGCGCGAACTCTTTGAATTTAGGCCGTTGGATGTAGGGTTTAGGGTTCTTGGTGTCTTTAGGGTTTTTTAGGTATTGTAGGTGCTTGGATGGGTACCAAGCGCGAATATGTTACGCTAGAGGAAGCAAGGGAGGCGGTGAGGACCATCCTCGACATGAATGAAGACGATGTCTTCATCAAAGGAAAGTCCACTCTCCTGCCATATCCAGGCATAGGAGAGCCGGTTAGCAGGCCTCCGGTGGAGCTCAACTACGTGGGTCGAGGGAACACGCTGTTTGAGCTCCTGGGCACCTGGATTTCTGGGCGTGAGGTTTTGATCGTCGGTCCCAAGGGCATTGGGAAGTCATCCGACTTTAGAGCCATGGCGTGTGTTCTCTACAAGTGGCTCAACACTCCCGACGACGAGGAGAACCGAGAGAAGCGCATGCATCTCCAGTTGCGTGAGGGTGTGAAGTACCGGCCGGTTTTCCTGTGGGCAGAGACGTTCCTGATCGATCAGGTGGAGGCAACCAAGAACGCGCTCCTCTTCTCATATCTTGTGGACGAGATCAGGCAAGTCGACGGCTGGGAAGAGACTGAGGCTGCCATCGCGAGCATCGTGTCGATGGAGGAGGCGCTTGGGTTTATCAAGGAGCGCAAGAAGAACAGAGCAGAAGTGTTTTACTTCTTTATAGACAGAGGCGAGGCACTTGATCCAAGTGATTTCCTTGGGAAGCCAGTGTATGACCACGACGCAAAGTTGGCAGCGAAGAAGGATCTGCGCGTCCTTCTGAGCGCGGGTACAAGAATTTGTTGGTGCACTAGTCCGAAAGCTGGTATTTTAAGCAGGAAGAATCAATTGCCATCGTTCACTTATAAACGCCAGAGAGCTGTCTTTGACGAGGTAAGAAGCTGCCAATATTTTGTTCATGGCTTTCATGCCTGAAAGCTTTGTTTCAGGAAGAGTATTCCACCTTCTCTGGGAATTGCGTGCTTGGTAAACTTCCAGCTCGTCGTTCCAGCATCGAATACTACACTGGACTCGTCCCGCTTTTCCTTGATGCTATGTCCGCCTGCTGCGAGACTGTTCTTCGAGACTTGGCGCTCGCGGAAACTGACACACTTGAAGGCATGCCGTCGTGGATGCAATATGGTCGAAGGAAGACATTACAAGCAACCAATGAAATGATAGCCATGCTGAACGACGAAGATGAGTATTGGGATCGCGTTCTGCGGGCGTTTGCTCAACACAGTGAGATTGATGAGGTGCGGAAAAGGGCCAGTAAGATACAAGTACAAGGTGCGTGCAGAACAGATGCAGATATGGCACGTCTGGACCCGACTTACGTTCTCGACGCCAGCACGGGGGAGTACTGCTCCAGCTACATCAAGAGGATCTACTTGAATGTAGTGTGCGAGAAAGAAGAGACGGTGAGGCCTTTGGATGGCTTATGCTAGAAGGATTGCGTCTCGGTGCAGGACTTTGACAGGGTTCCATTGAGGAGCATCGGAAACATCAAGAAGATGAAGGTCAGCACAGGCTATTACTTCAGGCCCAGGGATGGAAGTTTTCCGGGTGGATGTGACGGGATCATAGCGCTGCATTACACGTAGATGAGCACCTCCTCAAGTCTGTCAACCAGTTCATGAGTATGCCATTGCTGCAGTACGACATAGAGAGGCATCTGAGAAGCATCAATCTTCACATCGCACTTGTGGGGTGTATCCCCGCTGGGATATTGCCAAGCATTTCATGAAGAAGTTCAAGAGAAGCTCAAGAATGACTACATGTTACATGTGCAACCCTTCAATGATAAGACATTTCCAGATGAGGACTATTGTGAGACTATTGTGTGATATCACATGGAGCATGAGCTATCTTGATGGATTTAATTTGATTTGATCCATTGAAATTAATTTCAATGTGATCTAAAAAGAAATTACAACATTTATCAATTATTTTTCTTTCAAGTTATGCATGGTATAACAACTATATTGTAGATTGAGATGTGAAATCTTTCAAGGAAATTTATAATTTTGCATTTTGCATTTGAAAGCTATGAAAAGAAATAACAATAAATGAGATAAATGAGATAAAGATGAATGGGGTTCATAGCAAATGTATAAAACTTTATATTGTATAACATATTAAAAAATCCTTTATGCAAATTTTAAATTTATAATTAATAAAATATTATTATATTATTATATATAATTAAAATTAAATATCAATAAAAAATTTAAATTTATTTTAAGAAATAAAAAAATACTATTAAAATTTTGACATTTTTCTTTTGAATACCAAAAATTATTCAAGTACTTAGAAAATAAAAACTAAACCACATGAATATCTGTGTTACTTTTTATATTTTTGATGAGTTCAATCTCTAAATTTAATGAGGTGTAAAATTTATTTTTAAAGATTACTTTTAAATGCAAAGAAGAATAAATAATTTAAATATTATTTTAACATATTTAATAAAACATAATATTTAGCATCAGCCACCTTTATGCCTCTAGAAAGGTGTTAATGATAAATGCAAGGCTTGTGCTAAATGCAAAAGCCGTGTTTCCGCCATGATTATTTTATTTATACTAATAAAATTAAAATATTTTCTTTCATTAAATACTAAGTTTTTTAGAAAGTAGTACAAAAACTCAACCATATAAATTTTTGTATTACTCCATATATGAGGGCCAAGTGTACGGCTATGATGCCATATACTAATATTAACATAGTGGGATTTGATAATTGTCAGATTGGTTTCAATCCGGACTACTCACTCTTGTATATAAACTAGGGATTTTGGGATAATTGATATACACATTTTTTATATTCCCTTTCCATATTTCAAGCATTCATATTGGTAGAGGTGAGGGGCAATTTTCCTTATCCCTGAGGAGTGCTTAGATTTGGGATTTTGGTTTAGATATAGCTTTTGCATTGTTTAGATCTAGTTTTTTCCATTCTCTTTCTTTTGTTCTTTCTTTTCAGGATTTTGGTTTAGATCTAACTTTTCCATTGTCTACATCTCTCTTTCTTTATAGTTTTTTCTCATTTCCCTTTTTTTGTTTTTTCCTTTTCATTCATTTTCATGGTAGAGTAGTAGTCTCCTCTTTTGACTTTGGAGTAGCAATTGGTATAATTGTTTGATGCCATGCATTTGCAATTGAACAACCAGACTCAATTGATAGCAACATTCATGGCACGTGGTACAACTCCTTCTACTCTTGGTGCCAATCTTCACGTTTGGCCGGAGTTCTTTTGTGGGAATCCTGGGGATGATATATACCATTAGTTTGATCACTTCACAGTGATTGCCACATATCATTCTTGGGATGATGTTCGACGTTTGCATAAGTTTCTCACATGTCTCCAAGGGACGGCATTGCAGTGGTACAATGGTTTGAGCACAGCCACTTGGGGGGATTGAAGTGTTCTCCCGGATGTCTTCAAACATGCATTCAGATATGTCGACAATTGTGATGATGTTCAACAATTGCATCGTCTTCGTCAAGGGCCATCTGAGTCGGTGATGCAATTTGGTGTTTGTTTCCAAAGCCTCTTGCTTCGTGTGGAGCCAAATATATCTGAGCGGATCAAGTTAGAAATGTTGTGGCCAGCACTTCGTCAAAATCTTGTCAGACTTGTGCATGCACTTGCTCCCGCCACCCTTGACAATCCTCTTTGCTTGGCACAATGTTATGAGACTTCGCCTTTTCCACTTTTCGCTGCATGTCCTTTAGCTCCACTTCCTATGGGTGATGGTCCTATTCCAATGGAGGTTGATGTTATTGCTGCTTGAGTTCAAAGACAAAGGCGAGGCCATGGCCTTGGTCGTGATGTTTGTTACTAGGCGTGTGATGAAGTTGGTCACACTTATAATTCCAGATTGGCAGCCACCACTTCCTAGGTAGAGATTTTGGCGTCAACAACGTCCTGTTGGTGTTAGTGTAGTGGAACGTTTGGACACCGAGATGCATCTGGGAAACAAGGAGTCACACGAGTAACAAAGGGATCTTGCGCGAATAAGTCAGTGACCCCTCCATCTTTCTTTCGGGAGTATTATCAAGCAGTTCACTTAGCACTAGTTTATCCAATGTTTACTTTCCAAGCTTGTTTTTATAACAAGCAATCTCCTATTATTCTCTCCGTGTTGGTTGATACATGTTTGAATTTATCTTCTATTGTTTGATATATTGTCACACGTTGCCATATACACTTGCGTTGTGTAGTAGAGTCAGTTTTCATTCTTTATGGCAACAACTGTACACATGCATGTGTATAGGATGAGGCGGACCTGGTTGTGCGTTTGGGCAATTTTGAGCTTGGGTTGCAATCATTGTGGGTGGTGCCGAGTCAAGCTTTTGACCTCATCCTTGGTATAGATAGGTTGCAGCACAATCATGCCAAGTATGACTTTGAGGCTTCTCCCCCTTGTCTCATACTTTTTTATATTTCATCCATTCTTCTCACTTCTGTACTTCTTTGTCAATATACTTCTACCTCTGCTTCCATTACTTTTGTCCCCCCACTATTTACTCCTATGTTTCCATCTTGTTCTGCTCTTCCCTTTTTCGATCCCTCCGATAATCTTTATGCTGTAGCAGTTGACCAGCTTATGAAGAAGTATTCTGATCTCTTTGAATTTGACCTATTGTTTGGGGCCAAGATTGCCACACGTCATCCGATTCTAACCTGGGATGCTCGTCCAATCAAGGTTTTTATTCGTCGTTGATCACCCAAAGAGATCAAGATTTTACATACAAACGTCAAGGAGATGTTAGAGAAGGGTGTTATTTGGAAGTCACGGAATCCTTGGGCATGTGAACCTTATTCTGTCATGAAGCTTAATGGAAGTATTCGTTTCTGCATTGACTATCGTTTATTAAATGAAGTGACAATCCCAGATGTGTACCCTCTTCCTCACACTATTGATCTCTTGAATCATCTGGGGTGAAGTCGTTGATTCACCAAGCTTGATCTTGCTTCTGGTTACTGGCAAGTACCGATGGCCGAAAATGATAT